GGCTGCTGGTGTGTAAAACTGGCCACTCTGTTCCTGCTTCTGCCTTGAAGAATGCACACGAATTACTCATGTGGACAACCCTAACCCAAGGCTACCAGCAAGGAGAACCACGAGAAATGTCCTGCTCAGCTGGCTTAGCTGTCCTTTCAGCCAGCCTGAGCACCAGTGAAACTGAAGTCAGACTGGTCGGAGACGGAAGGCTGCAGGCCAAGAAGCAACGGCCTCAGTCCTGTGGACATGCCTGGCCCCGGCAAAGCAGCCCCAACTCCAGCAGAAACAGTTGAGGAACAGGCAGCTTGTGGACTGGCAGGCTGGACCACCTGAGGTGACAGACTGGAATAGTTTGACTTCTCACTTCCTCTTTCGAATGGTGCAAATGTGCAGAGCCACACCCACTCCCACCAGAGCAGGAGGGATCCACTTTCCTGCCCTGCAGTGCTGGCCATGGCCTTGTGATTTGCACCAAAGCAAGGTTCAAAGTGCAGGCGTAGCAGTGCTCCTACTGTGTGGTGTGGCCTCATCAATCTGGAGAGGGTACCCCTTGCAGCTGGTCCCTCCACCCTGCATCCAGATAAAGTGGATGTAGAATAGGCTGGTTCCTGCCCTAGGCTGAAGCAGAGCTCCTTCAGTCAGCCTGCAGCCCCAGAGTAAGAAAACAGCTGGAGTCCCCACAGATTCTGGGATTGTTTGTTATGCAGCATTATTACAGCAAGAGTTGACAATGGTCCTTAGCTGGGGAGGGCAGGGCCTCTGGATTGACCCACCTAGCATATTGTCTATCCATGGAAGCAGGCTCAGCATCCCAAACGTGTGAGCTGAGAAGGAGGTAGAGCCAATGCCAGAGGGCTGAACCCATAGATGTTGGCCCAACAGTGAAACAAACAGTTGGCTCATAGATGACATATGGGGCTGGCCAGATAGAAGCTGAACAAGTTTTCTGGCTGTCATACTGCAGTGGGTAAGCATGTTTGAATCTCAAAGGACAGGTGGCACAGCTGATTTATAGGGCCTAATTCAGATCTGTGGGATTTGATTTTTACATATAAATTCAAGTCATTTGGAGTAGAACCCTGCAGAAGAGCAGGGAGGGCTCTCAGGCAAAGCCCACAGCTGACTGATGAGGCTGATGACCAGCCTGAAGGAAACCAATTACCTACATTGTCTCTCAGAGTACACTCAGTCAGGAGCAACGGTCACCAGATGAGGGCCTGGGCTGGGGATGGTGGGCAGGTAAGGGACTGGGCTGAGTGTGTGTGGGGGGGGGTTGGTGAGAGACTGGGTTGTGTATGTGTGATGGTGGTAGTGGTGAATGATGAGGGCCTGGTCTGGGGATGGTGGGCAGGTGAGGGCCTGGGCTATATGTTTCTGTGGGGGAAACGGGTGAGAGCCTGGGCTGTGTGCACGGCACAGGTACGGGTCGGTGCTACAGTGGGGAACAGGTGCAGGTCTGGGCTGGCTGCAGTGGCGGGGGAGGTTGGAAACAGATGCAGGCCTGGGTTGTGTGCAGAGAGCACTGGGAACCTGGGGTGTGGGCAGGCAACAGGTACAGGGATGGGCTGCAGACAGCCAGGGCTTCTGAGGCAGCTGGAAAGCAGAAAGACCACTGTGCTCTGGAGGCTTCCCCGCGTGCAGCTAGTGGAGGACAGATGGGATCCCCTCCTTCCCAGGGAAGATGGAAAGGATGAGTACTAAGTTCCTGATGTGGTCAGGACCAGAGAGCTGAGCCCTAGGGCCAGGAAGGAGCACAGGGAGCCTGGGCCAAGGGCTGCTGCTCATAAAGAGCCAGGGCATCTGGAAGTGTGGCTCAATCAGTAGAATGCCTGCCTAGCAAGCAGTACTGCCAAAAGAGCCAGGAAAGAAAGATCTGCAAGGGAAAGGGAGGCGAGGTGGGGGTGGGTGAACCCCAGCTGGTGCTCATCATTTAAATGGTTCCCAAAGTTGGGTCCCTATACCAGCAGCCCCAGCAAGCTGGTGGGAAGACAATTCTCAAGCCTCAACTCAGAATGAGAAGTCAGGAATGCTGGGGCAGCTAGCAGTGGATAGACACACCTCTTTCCCCACTGTGACCTTGATTCCTTTCAAGGCTGCGAAAGCCCCACCCCCCACTCCACAGATGAGACAAGGGAGACCCAGAGAAGTTACATCTTTTGCAAAGCATCCTCAAAGTGGGGGAGCTGAGGCTGAGGCTGGAACCCTGGCCAACACGTGCCACTAGCTAACATGGAGGTATTTAATTTTTGTGGACATTAATAAGATGGAAATTCCGGTTCTTCGGTTGTTACTTACAGTTCAAAGCTTTGAGAGTCACACACACACAAAAAAATAACCAGTGGAGGTGCAGTGAGGTTTATTGCACAAGCTCCAGCAGGGCCCATGCAAACCTCAGGGAAGTTTGGTCCTGGGTGGACATCAAGTTGGGCCTCAGTGGAGGCAAAGGCTGGTACCACACCAGCCCTTTGCGTCCACCCTCCCTCCAGCTGTGTCTCAAGGGCAGGTGTTTGCCCAGATGTTCTCTTTCCACAGGGAAGACTCCCAGAGCAAGACATCCCTGGGAAACAGCTGACCCAGAAATGGTAGGATCTCCGCCACCCAGCCACCTGGAAATGAATTGAAGGAGACCAAGCACCTGGGGGGATCCTCCCTCAGGAGAGCTAAGGAAACTGGTAAGAGACCCAGGAGGGAAGCACCTAAGGTGTCTCCAGAGACCCTGCCCTTGGCTGGGCCACACATCTGAGCATAGTTAAGAGACTAGATGAGCAAGAAAACGGTTTGTTTCTGCATTTGAAAACTTCAAAAGCAGAACCTCAGCAGTTGCCAGCAATCCTTCTGAGACTGGGAAAGGGATGTGGGAAAAGGCCCGGGGGAAGCCCCTGCAGGCTGGGGTGGGGCAGCCTCTGGAGCAGGTGTGATCCCCAGTGACCTCCAGGAACAGTCCTGTATCCAAACCAGATTTCTGGCCATCAGTCCTCAAAGGGAACTGCACTGGTGGCTTTCCTAATCAAAAGGGAGGTCGCTGGGGGGTGAAAGAGTGTTTCCATAACAAAAACCTAGAATGGTGAGAAAGGAAGGGAGGCCCTGCTCCCACCCAGGGAAAGGCTGGGGGATGGCTTGGGAGTGGCAGGAAGAGCCTGGGTGGGCGGTAAGCCACCTTCCTAGTTGCCCCAGGGACAGCCCTGTCAACAGCCTGTGACATCTACACCTTATCCTCCATGCCCGTGGCCCTCCAAGGGACCAGCGATGTAGGGTGAGGCCCAGTCTGTGTCCTCCACATGAAACGGATCCCATGGTTTTCTACACATGGGCTTCTTCTCAGCTCCAGAGGCCCTCAGGAGACACGCAGTGTCCAGTCTGGGCCACCTCACCATTAAATTTTCTTCATATTACGGCTCGGTACACTATTTGACCATGTGCTTGGAGACTCACTCCCACTTGAAAGGGTCAGCAGTCAATGTGACACAAGCAAGCTGAGGCACTGCTTAAACTGTGCGGGACAAATAATGGCCTCAGGACAACCCCCCCATTCGCGCTCTGAGTCCGCACAGGTGTCCTGCTCTCGTGCCCCAGGAGAGCCGCTCTGAACCTCAGCAGCCTCCCGCTTGGAGAAGGAAGAAGTTCGCTGTTATGTCGAGCTTTGAACTCCCCGGCTGCTCCTTCGCAGCGTTTCCTGGCCGCTGCAGCCCACCTCCAGACTTGCTGTCACTGGGCAGCCAAAGCGGGTTCCCACGGGACGAGCCCTTGGACCCCAGAACTTTGGCACTCAAAAGAGTCGCCCGCCTCATCTAGCCTGGAGAGCCTGGCGGGGACCAGCGGCCGGGGAGGGACGGTCACTCAGGCAGCGAAAGGGGCGAGGGGAAACCTTCCACGCTCGCCTGGGGCAGCGCTTCTTGTGTTTGGGAGCTCGTGGGTTGGTGCCCCGCTGGCCCTAGTGCGGAGAGGAAGCCCTGCCCGCTGCCCCCTGCCTGAGAAGACGAGGGCGCCCCGGGACCGATCCGGTTCCGCTGGACAAGCCCACTCTAGCTCACGTGCTCCCATTCAGGGTCCTCCGGAAGCAGCCGCAGCGGGCGAGCGGAGTAACCCCGCACCTCCCACGTGGAAGGCCGGAAGGGGCGGCACTGACCACCAGGAACTCGCGGCGGGGGGCCTGAAGGAGGGAGGCCGGGGCGGGAGGCGGGGGTGGGGTGTGGGGGGGTTCTCCGCTCCCAAGTGGGCGAGGTCACAGGGGTGGGGCCTCATGGGGGGGGGGATAAGCAGGGATGTGGGCTGGCAAGGCAGGACCTGGTGTGGCGCTGCGGGGCAGGTGTGATGGAGCAGAGCAAGGGTGTAGAGAGGGGGCGGGGCCTGAGTGAAGGGGTGGGACTAGGAGCAAAGGGGGCGGGGCTCAGCAGAAAGGAGCGCAAACGGGGTGGGGCCTAGTGGAGCGCAGCCGGGCCAGCAGGGTGGGGACGGGGCGGGGCTCAGAGAAGCAAATCCCCGTAGGGGGCGTGGCCTGTGGTGAGGGGCGGGGCTCAGCGGAGCGAAGCATAATGGAGCTCAGCCGGAAGGGCGGGTCCGGGGCGGGGCCTGGGCGTGACCAGGACGGAGCATGGGTGGGGCTTACACGGGGCGGGGCCGAGCAGGCGGGCTCCCGCGACAGCGCCCACTTCCTCCAGAGCTAAGGCCCGACGGAAGTGCGTCAGTTGTTATCCGCTCCGGGTGCCGTCGCTGCCGCGGCTGCCTCACGATCCCAGCGCCCAGAAGCCCGGCTGCCCGCTCCGCCCCCGGCCGCTCGCCGCTACCACTCTCCGATCGCCATGGGGTACGCCCCCAGGGGGCCAACCGAAGGCCGCTGAGCGCCAGCCGCCAGCCGATGCGCCGGGCCCAGGCCGGGGGTCCCAGGCCGCGCGGTGCCCGGCGCTGAGCGCCCGCGCCCGGCATGTCCGGCCCGGCCGGCCGCCCGCCCCGGCCCGAGCCCGCGCGGCGCCCTCGCAGTCCGGCGGCGCGGCGTAGCAGGCGGCGCTGGGCGCCAAGGTCACCGCCGCGGTGCCACCATGGAGGCCAAGGTCCGGCCGAGTCGGCGCTCGCGCGCGCAGCGGGACCGAGGCCGGCGCCGGGAGGCCGCCCGCGACGCCCGTGCGCAGAGTCCGTCTTCGGGCGATGAGCCGGAGCCCAGCCCGGGCAAAGAAAACGGGGCTCCGCGGCGCGCCGCCCCCGCGCCCTGCGCCCCGCGCCGCGCGCCCCCCGCGGCGCCGTCGCCGCGAGTCCAGCTCGCAAGAGGAGGAGGTCATCGACGGCTTCGCCATCGCCAGCTTCAGCACGCTGGAGGCCCTGGAGGTAGGTGGGCGCGAAGTCCCGGCCAAGACCCTCTGGAGCTCGTGTCCTCCTGCCGACCCGGTACCGCGCGCCTTAGCCTTGTTGGGAAGACCGAGATCGGTTGAAGGGCGGTTGAGCTGTAGGGAAGACCTAGACCACGCCGCCCAGAGTGGGCCCTCGTTTCAGTTGTGTTGCCAAATTACCACTCCGTATCCGGGCTGTACTGGCAGTGCTGAGTTTTGGGAAGCGGCGATTATATATTGACATTTAGGTTTGTTCCTGTTCGGCCTTCCCTGTAGGGTTCTGTGTAGAGGGCAGAAGGAGGGTCAACCCCGAAGAATCCTTCTTGGTTATGGCTGCTTGCTGCACGGGTAATAGGTTGGCAAGAAATATTGTGTGTCTGGTTCAGTTGTCATGGACAATATTTGCTGAGCAAATACTACCCATCTCGCTTGAACTCCGGTGAGCAGAGAAGGAAATGAGGCACTATCAGAGGGGTAGCAAGTGGAATGGGTAAGGGAGCTCCTGTGGCCCTAGAACTCCAGTGGGCAGAAATGCTGGGAGGTCTCTAGGGCACTGCCAGATCCCACAGCCTCAGGGGTTTCAGCCAGCTATGCTGGCAGGAATGCAGACCCCCATCTGGGTGAGCACTTTCTTAGGGATCTTCATCTGCTGGGATTTAGGTCCCAGGAATCATTCACTCAGTGTCCAGCCCTTCTCACTCGCTCTGGGGTTCAGGGGGTGATGATCTGGGATTCCCCAGTCTCAGACTAAGCTTTGGGAAAGGCATATGCTCACTGCAAGTCGGTAAAGGGAGTTCTCGCCAAGTTCACTCTAACTCTGGGGTCTTGTTGGATCTGTAGATAGCCAAAAGGGACAGCCAGGGAAAGTGGCCTTGGCATGGGTTTGCCACTTTCTAGCTGGGCAGGTGGATGGACAGAGTTCATGAAGCACCTGTAAGCAGAGAACAGTGTCTTCTTGTGCTCACTATGCTACCCAGGTATGGGAAACCTGAGATGGGTTCTGGCCCCAGGCCAGAGGTCCCTAGAACTTTGGTGGGGAGGGGCGTTCTGTCTCCAATGCTGACCCACACTGAGGTTCTGAAAAAAAAAAAAGGTCCAGGATTTTCTGCATTAGTCATAACAATGACAGGGAGGTTCCTGAGTACTTACTATAGCCAGGCCCTGTGTGGAGCTCCTGCTCTGCAGCCTGTGAGGCCCCATGCTGTGTATCTGGAACTGCCCACGTGCCCACCTGTGTCTGCTCCCAGGAAGGGAAAAAGCAAAAATACATAACTATGGCCCAAAGCTCTGCACACACAGTTGGGCTTTTTCACTCCTGCTGTAACACATTGGCCTCTTCTGTGTCTCTGGCCTTGCAACCTCCACACCTGCTGTCCTCTGTGCCAAGGTGTGGTTGTAGCTCAGCCCAGATGTCACTTTGGACCTCATCTGAAGTGGTATCCCTTCACAAACACACCCACTCCACCCCTTGGTCTCGCCTACTTTGCTGCCTGTCATGCCCACTCTGTGACACTGTTAGGACTAGAGTCTCTCCTCACAAGAGGAGGAAAAGCAGACCCTGTGCCTGTCTCCTGTGGGCTCCCAGTGCCCAATACAGAGCTCAGCACATGGGGAGTGCCCTCTGCATGCCTGTGCATTGAGGGAGGGAGTGAAGAGAGGAACCACCTTTCAGGAAGCTGGGTCACTATGTAAGGTAACAGCCTACTGTCATGAGCCAAGCCCATTTGAATCGAAGTGCTCTGCTCTGGTTACACCACTCCTTTGAGGTCACCCACCTCTTTAGGCTGAGGGTACTGGGTTTGGGGGGCTTGTGCGGGCTCAGACCAATCATGCCAAGTGACAGTGAGATTAGCTTGCCTCTCCCTCACGTTCACACAGGACAGCATCCTTCAAGAGATTTCACACTTCTTTCTCTGCCCTTTTAGGCCTGCCTTGGAAAGTACGGGACTTCAGGGGAGTCATAATGTCTAGATCTGCCAGTGGTGTCTTGATTGGCCTTGTTTATTGCTAAGTGTAGTAGATTGACTCATGATCACATTGATAGTGGTGACTGGTTCAGTCTATGTTCACTCTGCCAAGCTGTCTTTACAGTCATTAATTCATTTATCCTTTAAATGACCTACAAAGGAGTCTGGTCAGCCCAACTCCACAAATGGGAACACTGAGGCCCAGTGCACTAAGTGGTGAATCCACAGCCAGGGGAGTCTGCTCTAGCCTACACAGTCTGGAGTGTGGTCCCCTGCTCCACAGCCTCCCACATGAGACACTGGGAGGGAGAGATGCTGGCTGCATACTCAAGGTCAGCAGGACCCCAGTCCAGAGGTAGAACCTGCTCTGACTCCAGCACCAGCCTCTGCTTATTGTCACTCCACCCCAGGCCTAGGGACTGTTCCCATCTCTCGACACTGAGTGTAACCCTAGAAGCAGCTCACTCCTAGGCATAGTGGTGGATGTGAACAACTGAATGGCAGGTCAGACTTGAAAGGTGGATTCTGTGAGCAGAAGAGTGCTGTTGCCTTTAATCTGAGGCTGCCAATACAGGCCCTAAGCTGCAGGACCCTGTGGTTGGGCAACCCTATCACCTTTTGCGTGCACCCAAATTTGCCCCTGCATGGGGAAGCAGTTCCTGCCTCCTTTGTACCTGTATCTGTGGGGGGACAGCAGGTGCTCCCCCAGTGTCATGGTGGTAGCTGTCTGCTGAGGGGGGCCAGTGTGGCAGCTAATGATCCACAGACTCAGAATAGAGCCTTGTGGCTATGCAGGCTGCATAGGGGCCCTGCAGGCCTGAGCCTGGTCCCCTTAGAATTTCTTGGGTGGAGGGGTGGGGACAGGGTATCTGAAGAAGCAGGGAATACACTTGGCCAATTTGGGCAGACTCTTTCCTGTAACAGCTGTGTTCCTGGTTGCACTGACAAAAGGTGACAGGACTCCTAGCCCCCGGGAAGTACCTGGTGAACAGCAGGAGCAGCGCTGCTGTTCTCTGCCTGAGGAGTACTTGTGGGGCTGTGCCAGACACAGCTGCTGATCTCAGGCTACAGAACAGGTTGTGTCAGTACCTGAATCACCTGGGGGGCAGTTCAAACCCTGCTTTCAGTCCCAGACAGATGTGCACCTTCCAGCCCCCAGGACTGGCCCTGCATAAGACGCTAAGGTGGAAACCACCTCCTGGTTTGATGTTCATGTTACTTTTTTTTTGTTCATTTGCTTATGTAAATCAGTAGAGCGATACACCTGACTCAAAAAGTCAAGCTCTATGAAAAGATGGGTGCTGTAAAGTTTCAGATCCAACTTCCACCTCCCAAAGTGTCTGACCTTTCTTTAGCCTCTGTACGTGGACACAGCCACATGCAGCTGTGCCATCTACACATGGAGTGAAGGGTATTCCTCACATCTGTGCACTTGTACCAAAGGTAAAGGTAGAAGAAAAAAGCCCAATATAGTAAATGTATGGTGCTCAGGGACTTCCTTTCTTTCATTATGTGTTTCTGCATTTTCTGATCAGCATGTGTTACTTTGATAATCCACAAAACACAAAAAAAATCAACTTGATCTATGTGTGAAGCAGTACTTAAACCTCACTCCAGCCAGGCACAGTGGCTCAAGTTTATAATCCTAGCTACTCATGAAGTAGAGATTGGAAGGGTTGCAGTTCAAGGTCAGCCGGGGCAAAAAGTTAACAAGACTCCATTTCAACCAATAAAAGCTCAGTGCAGTGGTACGTGCCTGTTTTCCCAGTTATGTGGAAAGCATAAATAGGAGAATTGGGTGGTCAAGGCCAGCCTGGGCATAAATGTAAGACCCTATGAAAAATAACCAAATCAAGAAGGGCTCAAGTGGTAGAGTGTCTGTGTAGTAAGTGTCCAAGTTCAAACCCCAGTACCACTGGAAAGAAGAAAGAAAGGAAGGAGGAAGGGAGGGAGGGAGACTATGCTGGTCTCAACAATGGCCACCTAGTGTTTGGCTTTCCAAGGCTGTCCTGGGTGAGCTGTGACTTCTGAAAGTAGCTGAGCTCATCTCAGCAGCAGATGGGACCTCAGCAGGGATGTGAGCCTGATGCCTGCACGTTCTTGTGACCCAGCCCCAGAGGGTGTTGAAATGGGGAGTACCTACTTTTGGCTGCATTCTGAAGGTTCAGGTGGTTGGTCTCTCTGAAGGGGCCATATGCCCATGCCCAGCCATCCCTGCACAGATAGGAATGGGACTGAGACCACACAGGCATCTGGACTTAATTGTGAGGAGAGCCAGAGGAAAGGGCTGCTTTTCATTCAGGAGTCTGAACCTCCTGGTTTTCATTCAGGTGGGGAGACAGAGCTCAGTGAGGGGATGTGCTTTACTCATAGTCACAGGACTGGAGCCTGGAACCCACCTTTGGATGGCGTTGGGCCATTCAGATGAGGTGTTGACCTCAGTCCCTCTCAGAGAGTGGGACTGAGGTGTAGTGGAGGCTGGTCCCTCTAAGGAAGTGAACTGATACAGCATGTGAAAGCAAGGCCATCCCTGGCTCCTAGGCCTACATGGGTGCTCATCACATCCTTGGCAGCCCATCAAGAGGTCAGATCCTTGGCTGGCACTGTGGTAGAGCAGAGCCTGCACCTGTTCCCCTGTAGATCCTAGAAGGGCCTTATTTCCTCACTCTATCTATGGTGCTCACCACTCCCAGCCCTCCTCCCTTCCCGTGTCACCAACAGCCCCTCCCCTCCAGCTTCTTGAGCCTATCACCTCTTGACTGGGACTTCCAGATCCTTCGAGTCCTTAACTGTGGCCACACCTGCCCCCAGTGGCCCCTGTATGCTGCATACTTCATACCAAGACCTTCACATTGACTCTGCCCTCTGCCTGGAAGGTTCTTTACCAAAATATCTGTTCACTCAGGGCTGCCACAGTGGGGAGCCTGACCGACTGCCCAGCTGGCCCCTTCCTACCTGGCCCTTGTCCCCTGACAAGCTACCCCCTATCTACTTGTGTCCTCTCCATATACAGTATGTGTCCCTAACCTGA